ATAAAACAAGTGGTAGCTTCTGCTCACTTGGCTGATTAAAACCAATATTGTTTTTAAGGAAAGTGTATAGACTTTATTATCATAAAGACAAAAAATCTTTTGAGAACATCTATTTTTTGGATTGGCAAAAGGATCAGTAGAATGAGTTTAATGTTACTTTATTGTTTGTTATTTTTCTTTTTTATTTTTATTATATATTTTTATTATTTTTATTATTATTATTATTTATTATAAACATATTCTTGTTTTTATTCATTAACAGGACTATTACTTTTACTTGTTTTTTTATTTTGTTTATATAAGTTATTGTGAATTTTAAATTTGAAAATAGATTTTTAAAAACTTTTAGTTATGTATATATAACTTTAATATTCAAATAAGTTTAATTATCTTTTAAATTTAAAAAAAAATATTTTTAATTTTTAATTTTCAAATATTGCCAAAATTTACCTTATTGAGTTTATTAAATAACTTGTTTATATATTTATATTTAACTAATATTAAAAAAAACTTAAACAAATATTATGTATATTAAATATAACTAAGTAATAGTTATGCTTATTAGCTCAAAAAAGTTAATTGGATATATAGTAAATAATAAGTAAAATAAAAATAAAAATATATAATATATACTATATAATTAAAACTATAATAATATAATTACTAAAATATAAATTGGGTTAATTAAACTATAAAATCTATATAAATAAAAATAAAATCTAAAAAAATTATTGATTTAAATCAAATCTCTATTTTTTTAATTTCTTATTTCTTATTAATATAACTTTTACTAATATAGTATAATTAATAATATTTATTGTTATAAAAATTATTGTTATTGTTTTTTTTTTTTTTATATTGATAAACACCAGTTCATTATTTTCTATATATACAAATATATAACAATGAAAAAGAACCTATATCTCTTACAAGACATGAGTTAAATGCTAGCTTATCAATGATATCTATCTAAAAAATGGTTGGAGAAAGGGATCTTGAAACTATCCACTGGTTGAGTGAAGTTATAATTCCAAAAGACATGGCATCATTTCTGGTTAAAAGTCTTCAAGTGTAAAGTTTTAAAAAATACTCTTTTGGAAGTGCCTTTAAACATTTTTGGACATTGACTACTTCATTGGAAATTAAACAGTTTGACTGGTCACAGGTGATAAGAAGTGAAAAATTATAAGGGACTTGAATTTTAAGTTCACTGAGATAACTTTTTCAATGATAGTTAGAATAGATAATAGCTTTTTTTTTCTTTTCTCTTTGTCAAAAAATTCCCATTTTTTATTTCTTTTTCCTCTTGCATAGTTTCTACAAGAGGGAGGTGACACAATTTGAATTTATAGTCATGACTATGAAGGTGATCTGCAGGTTTTGATCCTATCAAAAGTTTGGGATCCTAATCCTATCTTTTAGGAAACAATATATTACCTCTATAAATTGCATCTAGAGGTTTCAGCTATCAATGGATGAGTTGGATTGAGGAAATTTGTACTTTGCATATCGTTTCATACATGTAATGATTCTCTATAATTTATTAAATAAATGACACCAACCTGATTGCGGGATTAAAAAAAAAAAAACAAGCAATAAAGTAACTATTTTTGCATTTTTTTTTTTTAATGATTAATTCTTCTTATATAAACAATCAAAAATTTCAAATAATTTAAATAGATCTATAATAACAATAAATAAATATCATCATATTTTGAATCATAATATTTTTATTATATCGTTAATTTGAATGACTGCATGTATATTAATTATGCATGTTAGTAAAAATACTGTATAAAAACAATTATTTGTTCTAACTTAAAGTTAAATAACTCTATCTTAAGTTTAAAAATTTAATTAAGCAATAAATAAATACAGCATACAGTCTATAGTGTATAAAATATACTTGATAATTTAAAAGAATTGATTTTTCGTTTAAAATATTATTTCGAACCCTTATGGTTTCCGTTTCCTTGTAGTAGTCAAAGAAAAGAATATACTGTAATTCGGATTAATAAAATCACACGATATTAATTTACTTGAAATATGCATATTGCTTGTGATTGTAGTTGAGCAAAGAATATCACTCCAATGAATTCAAATATATTTGGTATTAATTTATTTAACAAATTTCCATAAATATGATTACCTGATAAAAGTAAAGAATATAACTTTGATTTTTGATGTAAATTTATTTAACAGATATTGTATCAATAAAATAATACTTACTTGTTAAAGTAACGAATATAGATAATAACACCTTTTATAGGAATTTACTTGACAAATATTTAAAATACAATATACCAAAATAATTATAAATAATTTATTACATTTGTAATATGTTTTATATACTCTAAGTATGATTTTGCTGTGAAAGAACCTCTTTATTGCAACAGGGCCTAAGAAATTAAATCATTTTTTATTCTGTGTCTAGCTATAACATTATGGCTCTTGCCTCTTAAGCTTGTAGTAAGGAACTGTAATATTTCATTATCTTGACCAGGGATGTCTTCAAATTCATATTTCAACACTAATGCCGGGATTGTGAGCTTCAGTTCCATCCGCGCGAAGCTAATGGTATTCGTCAATTTTACATATTAATTCATTTTATCATATAAAGGGTAGCGATAAAAATACTCACTTCTGCCCGATACAATTCCGGGATCCTGAAGAGTCAAAAGAAAAAAAAGAGTCGATAATAATGATTAATTTGACCATAAAAAAAAAAAAATTTAACGGGAAAATTTCGTACCAGCTAAAAATGGAATAAATCCATCGACCGGTATATTCTCGGGATTCAACCATCGCTCCGGAACAAACTCATACGAGTTTTCACCCCAATATTCTTTCGAGTGATGTACAGCAAATATGTTTGCAGTGAGAACTGTCTGCATAATCATAATGATTCGGTGAGAAGGAGATAAGGAAATATTTAAAGTTCTTGCAATTCACCAAAAATTGATACATACGCCCTTCGGAATAGAGTAATCACCTATTACCATATCTTCCACGGCTTCTTTTCCTGGACCTTTTTATACAGTATTTGGCATAGGTGATTAGTTTACGAAAAGAAATGTAGGACGTAAGAATTGATGAAAAGGAAGTAAGAATTTTACCAAGATCTAATAAAAAATATATTTTAGAAAATAATAACGACTTTGAGAAATACGTTAAAAAAATAAAATAGATCATAGTCACCTCTAGAGGAAGGATAAAGTCTGAGACCTTCGTTGATAACAGCGTCTAGGTAAGGCAAATTTTTCAATATATCATAGGGTGGAATCAACCTTTTATTTGAGTCATATTTCGAAATCACTTTATCGAGTTCTTCGACCAACTTCCTATATACTTCAGGACGCCTGATTAATTCAATTAATGTTATTGATGTTGTAAAGCTGGTCGAGTCACTTCCAGCGAGTCTAATTATAGAGATATGACGTAGTGAACATTTAAGCATAAGGATATGATTTAAATCAAAACGGACCATCAGAAAGACTCACAAGAACTCGAAGCATTGATCGAAAATTTCAAAATCCGATAAGCCATTTCCATTCGAGTCTTTCGCATCCAATAGTGCTTGTAATAAATCTTTTCTAGTGGTAGCCGATTGTCTACGTTGTTTTATTATTTCTTTTGTAAACTATCAAATAGTTTAAGGACATGTCAACTTAAGACAATAATGAAATGGTAAGTAAATATTAAATCTTACATCTACAAGATAAGGATCCACTTTCGAAAATTGACCAAAGACAGGAAACATGGATTTCTAACATTTTTAAAAATGGAGTTGTAACAATAGATCATTCTTATAACGTTTGATCAATGTAAAGTTTATAAATATTACAAACCAATACTCTTCTTCTAAACTCTTTGAACATTTTTCCTGGTAGAGGATGACTTCCATATTTTACCAACTTGAATGAACCTCCAAATGATGTCTCTCCAATTGTGTCCTACGAAATTTTTTTGTTAGCCATACAGTAACACAATGGAAAAAAAAGAGAGAAAGGCTTTCATCAATAAGTTAAAATTTTATTTTTAATAAACTATGAAGACTCACCAGTGCGTTCAAATTAATCAAATTATAAATATCAACGACGGCATCTTTCGAGTCGTTCAATGTTATCATTTCATCAATTTTATCTGTCAAATCTTGGCAACATGTGCCCATGAGGCTTTCGAGAGATGAAATTTGTTTCATGGAAAAAACCGGTGAAAGGACACGGCGCTACAATGACAACATCTGTTAACAATCAACTCCTGAATAAAGCAAACAAGTAAACATGCTTTGACTTCTTACACGAGCCTTGTGAAACGCTAGGTCTCTATGAATAAATGAATAAAAAATTAGATTTCGATTATCTTTAAAAAACGTTAAAAATAAGGCATTGAACATCTAAACCTCGTGGTGAATAGGGTGGAATAGTTTTCGTCGACGCGCAATTTATCATAATTCTTATTTTTGGGCAATTCCTAGGAAAAGGCAAGGTACAAGTCAACATCTTCAGCCTGCCTTTACGTATCAGTTTGTCAATATTCACCTACATTCGTCACTAAAATCTGTAAACATAAAAAAAATATATTCGTAAAATATTATTACCAAAAAAAAGAAAGAAAGGAATTGTTACGGTTGACCATCAATTACCTGCTTGAGAATATCTTTGTCCGCAATCACAATCACTCTCGGTGCTGAAACGAAAGTTATATAGCATTGAGTATAAATACTGAAAAAGAATAATCCGATCTAACAGCTTACCAACTCGAACCACTCGGCCATATTTCGGAAGAATTTCGTAGTGTAACCATTTCCACCTTTCAAGGAGGTTTCACAGTCAATGATACGCATTTCAAGAGAATTTATGATTTAATCCAATCGAAACATACCTTTGGCCTTTCATCTGCCTTATATCCATATACAATTTAGTTAGGAAGCCTATTTTTGGTCCTGGAATTTTACTAAGGGGTCCAATGTAGGCAACATAGATCACCTATTGTATTATTTGATCAAGAAAAATTTAATCGGGTTTTTGAATATTCACACAAGCATGAAAAGTTTACTCACTTTGAACACGTATTTTAGTCCATATAGTAAGCAGACTATTTTCAATAATAAGATTCCAAATTTGAGAACATATTCAAGATTCATATTGACAGAATTTTGTTTACTGGCAAAATGTATGATTTTGTTTTTCTGAAAACTGAAAGCTGAACGTCCATTTACTCAAATCAATCCAGGGAAATTGATACACATTACTATACGCCAGTGATGATTTTGTTTGACAAAGAACGAAGAGTCACATTCTACTTTGTCTTTGTATAGTCTTTGTAACATGTATGTACAGGTAATTTTTCCAAACCCAGAAATCACTACCAAATCAATTTCCTAATACAATAATATTTAAATATTATCGCATTTTGGACCATTCCTAATTATGATTTTACAATGACCTTGTGCCTTGCGGCAATCGAAACATCTAAAAACAAACAAAATTCAATGAAATTCGATTGCGTATGAAATACAGTATTAATGAGATACTTTAATTTTTACTTATTAAAAAGCAAACCCAAAATTGACATTACCAAACACAAAGTCTAATAATTACAAAATTTATTTAACAGATAAAGATAATATTGTAATTAGTTAAATTAAGCAAGTAAAACATGATAACCACAATAATTAGTGTGCATCTGCCTATCTATCTATAATAAATTTCTTTAGATTTGATAATTCTAATTACTCAAATTATGTAACCAACAAAGAAAGAAAGAAAACTTGAAACAATACTTTCTTTTTTGAATTTCGTCTAATCTATCGCTCTCATCAGGGCATTGCTATTTAAAAAAAAAATTATTTATACTATTTTGGTGAAAACATACATACTCCGTTTTGGCTTTCTACTTCAAAAACCTTCTTAACAATTTCCTGATGCACTCTTAGATATTTTTATAAACATAAATTATGTCCTACCTCTTATGCAGTGCCACTCGATCAGCAACGCAATTTTTGATCTTGTGAATTAACTCTAATGATTGTTCGTAGCCTGCTTGAAGTGTAAAACAATCCAAGGGGTATTCAGTGGCTTCAGGTTCACAATAAAAGCCAACTACGGCGGCATCTGACACTGCTGAATGTGTGATTATTTCTTCCAGTTCCGCAGGTGTAACCTGGAAACCCTGATTTAAAGTAAAATATAAATATATATATTAAGAGTGTATATAATGATAATATATTTTTAATAATGTTCATTTTCAAAAAATAAACTTTAGTGTATCTTAAATTTAATAACCTCTTTGATACAATCAGTAATATATAAGTTTCCTGTTAAAAAATGTGCGTACAAAAATATGTCAATCGAAATTTTTTTAAAAAAACGTTATTCGTGTTTGTGAAATATATGAAAATCCATCACCATCAAAAGCTGCATTGTTTGCCTCTTCACTATTAGATATCCCTGCAAGTTATTTCTTAGATTGATCCTTTAATATCCGATTAAGGACCTCGAACACAAAGTTGCCCAAATTGATTACAGCCTAATTCCATAACCAAGAAAAATTCGGTCACAAAAAAAAATGTTTAAAGTCTCATCGTAAATAGTTTACCTTGTTCATTTTCCGTAATTATCTTAGCCTCAATATTAGGTAACAGTTTTTCAACGGAACCTTCAAATATAATAATAATTTAAAGTTATTGACAGTATTTACATTAATTGGATTTACGTTTTTTACATAAGCAACTATAATTAATAATAAAACAGTAGGTGCCATTTGTTGATTCTTTCTCATAATCAACACCGATGACTGGAGATGTTTCAGTAAGTTCCAAGATAATAAATAAAGACAGTAATAAGTTTAACTATTTTTCCAATTATTTTATGTTAACTATATTTACCATATTTTTTGACAGTAATATTATGAATGCTAAGCATATCGTCAATTAATGATTTGCTAAGAGGAGCAGCTCCATTAACGATGACTCGCAAATTCGACAAGTCATACTCTTTAGCAATCGGATCTTTGACCAATAGCAAAATTATTGGAGACACGAGGTAACCATAGGTGACCTTATAGTCTTATACCATGCGACAGAATGTTGCCAAGTCAAACTTAGGATTAATACTGTAGAGGCACCCATTTACAAACAAAGTTATATTCATCTTATCAGATGTATGGACATTATAGGGATGTTTAGTTGATAGTTTATCAAGATCAAGACAACATGGAGAAGATTAATCTGCAAATATGGAAGAATGACTGTAAATAATTGTAATATTAATAATATTACATTTGTTAATAAAAAAATGTAATACTAAAATATTACATTTGTTAATAAAAAAATGTAATACTAAAATAT